AAAGTCATGATATCTAATCAAAAACACCTTAGGTGTGAATAAAAGGTTTGAGAATGTGATTTAAAGGAATGAAACCAAAATTAGCAGCCAAACTGGTAACTGCACTTATAGCATTGATAAGTATTTTACAGCAAATATTCATTCATTAGTTAGTTAAGCTGCATATTTTGTTTTACCCACCATCATTCCTCAAGTTGAACAAAAAAAAAATGTGGCCTGGCTAACTAATGAATGAATATTTGCTGTAAAATACTTATCAATGCTATAAGTATAGCTACCAGTTTTGATTTTATTCCTTTAAATCACACACTCAATCCTTTTTTGGCTGCATCTTTTTTTCACACCAAAGGTGTTTTTTATTAAATAAATGAAGATACCAGATAACAAAGCATTTGTTGTATTTCTATATTGCCCAACAATCCACTTCATAAATCTAGGAGTATTTGAGGTTGCAAAATTATTTGATTATATATAAAACAAAGATCTCTATTTTTGTGAGACTCCGTGTATGGATTCATCCAGTCAGGGCTCTCAACTGTTATGTACGCCTCTGCATTTCTCCTAAACAGACTTCCACCCTTTATAGTGGAGCTCCGTGAAAGGGTGTTGATTTTGGAAATGGACATGGGGTGCCATCTGGTGGCTGACAATGCCTCATCAGGTACCTTTTCTACCTCCTTTTGCATATTTTTGCATAGGATAAGGGACATTGGAGAGGGAGCCTACTGTTAGCACTAGATATCTTGGCTCCAACCAGGTTGGGAGTCATCTAGATTTTTATTCTTATTTATTTATGTTTTGATGTTCCAGTTGCACTACCCTGATATGGTTGAACCTGTCCTGGGGACTGCTTGAATCTTACTTTGGTTTTCCCTGAAAACCCACTAACATAGCCAGTTCTGTGACTTACTGGCTATTTTTAAATAGATGAAGAGGTGTGGAGTTTGTTTTTCCATAATATGTGTCCGAGCTACTCCCCCGAGAATCTTCACAGCAGTAGCAGGACTTAGTATTTTTCCTTCCTATTTATTCCATTACCTGTATCCTATTGTTGGATCCACAGGTTCAATACCATAACTGCTCAAAAACCACCCTTTTGCCTAAATTAAAGGGCATCAAATCAATTCTAGGAGCAAAGGTAACTAGAATGGAAATAATGATTTTCTGGACCACATTTTTATAGAAAACTGTATAGAATCTGACTGAATGAAAATTTTTTTAAAGTTTGTATATTAACAAAAGAAGGTAGAAAACATAATATGCCTGCATACTACAGTAATATACTTCAGTTTGTACTGCAAATTTTTGTTAGATGTACATATATATGTCAATATTATACTCCTGTTCTGTAAATCATACAAATTTTTCAAAAAAGTTATTCATTGATATACACATAGTGCTAAACTTTCATAAGCTCAAAAATCCTAAAGAATTAAGAAATTTAATTATTTTATATCTTAGTACTGCACTCCAGATTACTCTGCAAGCCATTTAGGTTTAGTTTAGGGAAAAAAACCCATATTGTTATTGTCGAAGTATTTAAAAAAAAAGTTTAATGCTTGCTTTTTTTTTTTTTTTGTTACTACTACTACTACTTCCCACCCCACCCACGTCCCCTAGTGGTCCAGCAGTAAGACTCAGGACTTATAATATTAAAACTCTGGTTTCAATACCCATGATCGGTAGAGAACAGATAACTTATGTAACTTTGTGCTTAACAAAAAACAAACAATCTCCTACTTTCTGGTGGCTTAGCAGTAAGCTTGAGTGGGTGCAATGAAGACAAACCATTGTATAGCTTTGTGCTTAAACACAAACAAAAGATGATAATTTTTTCCCTCACAAAATAACTAGCATGTTCTACACAATTAAAGAATAATTTAGTATAACATGTAAGTTGTGTTTTTGAGTTATTTATTCCAAAAATACAAATAAATTCCATTGTTACTCTGCTAGAATAGTTTTTGACTCTCAAAAAAGGATAATATAATTTTTCTGATTAAGCAAAATAAATGTTTACACTTGAATTGTACATGATTCCTTATGCAATACATCAGAGAAAAAGTTTTATTTGTCAAAAAACTACTTATGGTAAGGTTTTGGTGTTTGGATATCAGTTATTGTCATGGTTAGTAAACCTATACAGTCACCTCTTATTATTAGTTACTTAAATTCACAACAAAGCAGAGCATATTGATTTGCCTCTGTCTGTCCATCTATCCTGATCTTGTGGACAACAAATCTCAAGATTGGATGGATGAATTTTAAACTTGTACAACAGAATTACAAAAGAAGTTTTAGATCTGATTAACTTTTAAAGCTCATCAGTCAAACGTCAAAAGATCACTGGTACATAAAAGAAATCTTTCCAATCTATGGACATAATATCTAAAGATTGGATATACGGATTTGACGAAATTTCCACAACAGGTACTATATCATCAAATTGTGGAGACTTAAATATACAGTATGACATTAAGTGGGGTCATAGGTGTTTCGTAAACACAATTTGCAATTGTTATACTAGATACAGATTACTAACTAGATTTAGTTGTTAATCTGCTAATGTGATGGATCCACCAGTCTCTCTGAAGAAGACCCAGGATTAAAGCTCAAGCCACTACTACCACAGAAATAATCCTCCACAGAATTTCCCTTAAGTGGCAGCAGATTAGCAGCAGAAATATAGGATGAAACTAGTTAGTAATCATTAATAGCAGCTAGTAAAAAACTAATTAATAGTCAGACTTAGGTGACTTTATAGGCTATAACAACAATTATACAGTTTACTTAATGCTGCTTACCTAATAATATTAAGGTATTGCTAGCTCACATTTACTAATAATAATAGTGTATTAATAATGAGTGTATTTTACAGCTTCTTTATTAATTTATTTTATCTCAGTTGGATTTACTCCTGTCTACCATCAAACAAACAAATCCTTGCCTTAAGTGCAACATATCCAGAAAAACTTGCTCAACTTTTGACTCTATACATGAGAAATCCTATGTTTTGTCGTCTAAATGTTGATAAACCAAGTCTTTTGGGTGAGTTGTGTGCTTTTCTTTACTGTTCTGAAGTTTGTTCTCTTTTGAAATGTTGTTTATTTACATTTAGAAATCACTTGTTTTTACCTGTGATATTTATATATATTTATAGATTGTGTGTGTGTGTGAGAGAGAGAGAGAGAGCTGTGTGTTTGGTGCTAAAAGTAGTCTTTCGAGTTAATATGTTGGAGGAAGAGGATAAAGTGAAAATATTTTATTTAACTTGGAGACAGATGTGTTCTATTGCTGAACCACTGATGTTTGATAAGGAAGTTGAACATCTTGAATTACAAAATTCTTTGTATATCAAGTATACTTTAAAATTTCTACAAATTTTTTAAAAGATGAAGTCTGATTTCAAAGCCCTAGTAGACAATAAAACAATCTTTAACATATATATTTTATAACAATTGGTTTTATGTAAGAGGTATACTGCTGTAGCACTACAATGTTTTCAGTCAGTTGCCAGAAATTTTTTGTCATCTTTCAAAATTTGTAGTGCATAATGAAGGGATTTACACATCTTGAAAAAAGATTAGTTGTATGTACTAACCCTGAAAAAGTTGCAAAGGCAAAATGTTAGTAGAAATAAAATGTCCTTATAATTATCTAGAGTATAAATGTTGTTGTTTGTTTTTTTTCTAACCTTTTTATCAAAATATTTTATAACAGTTAAGAGTACATCTACCTTCAGATTTCTCCAGACCAGTTGTTGCATACTTCAAGTTATTTAAATGAATGTGATTTTTTACAATAGTTTGTTATTTCTATTTTATATAGGTTTAAAACAGTTTTACAAGGTCACACCATACCATCCACTGACTCAGATAAATTTTCAACATAAAATAGAAGCCCTGACTAGTTTGTTTCATTCCATATCATTCTCTCAGTGTTTGGTGTTCTCCAACTACCAACTCAGGTCAGTAACTGATACTTTTAGAAAAGTGTGTGATGTTCTATAACTACCATCTTGGGATGCTAACTTATTAGCAACCTGAACAGTTTTTGGTGCTCTGAAATTACCAATTCAGGTCAGCAACTGTTAGTTCATATAACAGTTTCTGATATTATCAATTAAACTCTGATTACTAACTGGTTGCTTTTAGATCAGTTTAGATCGGTAACTTTTTAGCTCCTTGCCTTGTTTCTGGTGTTTTCAAACTACCAACTGTATTTAGTAACTAAAATGATAGTTTCTAGAACAAATTATGATGTAATTATCATTTCATGTCAGTAAATTATAGCTTCTAACAGGCCCATATAGGGGGTTTAATTTATGAGATGAAAAACCAACACATATTGTGTGAAGTGCAATCACCATGCAAATCATGCTAATACTATGGGAATCTGGGGGGCATGTCCTCCAGAAAATGTTAAAAAAAATAGATGTTATGAGATTAAATCTGGAAGTAATTTTACATGAAATATAGCTTAAACAATTGTACGGCTTTCATAAAATCCACAAACATCCAATGAAAACTCAATAAATCACCATTCTGTTATAACACTGTAAGTGGAGCTAGACTTAAATTAGCATAAATATATGTTTTTCTTATATTAAAGTACTGTACTATACACAGGCAGAGCAGTTATTCATTGCTAAATTATATTACTAATTTAAACAACTCTGTACACCAATAATATATTAACTATTTCAGTCATGGGCTACCATGTACGTACATGTATACACTACCGAAATAACATGTTAGCATGCTCAATTCTTCTGGGGTTCTTTTCCTTATATAACTTATGTACAGTTTCAATGTTGATAGCAGTGTCATAATGATTATATATTAAAGCTAGAGCACTCAGTCTTTTTTCAATTTGTGTAGTACACCTCAGGTAATTATTCAACCAGTGGAGAGCAGATGCCAAATGTTCACTTGAACAAGAACTTAGTTGCAGTGTGGCAAAGAGTTTCAGTAATATATTTGGTACACTAATGCATGCATTTAAGCAATCAGTCAGTAGCTGGGCCTGTCCTGGAAAGGTATAGAAAACCAGCTTGTCTTTCATCAATGAAGTTCATCAAAAATATCAGGATTTGACAAATCTTCCCTGTAAAAATCTTTAGCCTGTCTAATATCAAAGATAGAAAACTTGAGTTTTAATAAGTTTCTGAAATGATGATGCTTGCTTTACAATTCATCAAATCTGGAGGAAAGATTATTGTTAATGTGGTCAAGAAAATGAATGGTTACTGTTTTCTTAAAGTAATCCTTGATGAAACTATATTCTGCATTTGCACATTGGACTTGATATTGACTAACTTGTGCCATGCTAACATTAATATTAGATTTATTTACAATATTATTGCTTTGTTTGAAGATACAATGTGAATAATCATCAATATTCACTCTAAGTAAAGTCAGTTCTTTACACCATTGTTCTATTAGGGAAAAAACAGAAACAAAAATGGAGGTCTGGTTGAACCCCCTTGAATACGTGTGTGTCTAAATAGTTGCACATGTATTTTCTAAATATCAACTTGGATCAGTTTCTTTCATTTCCAGATATGAATACTTGTTTTGAACTCAACAATTTTACCACTTATTTGCTTTTATTGCAACAAAGCTAAATATGTAAAATTAAAAGTATCTTCCACAGTAAAAATATTCTGGTATAAATTCTGTATACAGAGGATTGAGACTACATGAGGTTTTTGCCATACGTTAATAAGTTGTGATTTTAAAAAGACTAAAATATTTTCTCTTAAAATTGGAGTACTACTCTGATATCTTAGAATGCAGGTTCTTCTTATCAACATCTTGATAATTTTCAAATTTCATATGTGAAATCTTTATAATGTCCAGATAGTTATCAAATGTTTCTTAATAAAAAAAACACTATATTTTATCTGTTATTTTCGATAACAAATCTCTGTACGGGTTCGGTAGATTTGACCGATCTGGTAACCACCATAAAAAATTAGGAAATAAATATAAGATATGCCGCTTTTGTTCTTGAATGACAACAGATTATAACACACAAACATAAATGTTTAGACTAAATAGCTTAAATGTCCTAACATTATACATTTATATATGAAACTTGGTAGAATGGAGGCAACTGCCTGTTGTAGACACAAGTGTAGAGGACAACATTTCAAAAATCTTCTGCCTTTCGTCTTCAGGTCAGTGTGTGTAAGGTGTTGTCGGTCTTTATTCTGATGGATTGTGGAGAGTGTGTTATGATGGTTGGTTTATCTCTGTTTCTGATTGAAGATTTCCTGTACATTCGACCAATGGATGCCACAGGTTACTCATCTCTTATCCAGAATCTCTTTTTAGTGAAGGTTTAACCTGTTACTTGCCATGGCCATTTTGTCTTATTGTAAGGGCAAAATCATTTGTGAATTGAAAAAATTATAGAGAACTTATCTTTTATTGGATTTCAGATTTTATTTTTGTAAATAGTAGCATAACATTCAATTATTTGTACAAAATTGTATTATTTAATGAAATTTAAAGAGGAATTTAATGAAAAATTCCTAAAATATGTTTTAGACTGTAAATAAGTGCCCTCTAAGAAGAAATTTTTTTTTCAAAAATCTTTTAAGATATTTCCTTTCACTTCAGCACTGGTCCTGCCATGTATGATTGGTATCTAAACCTTTTTCTAGTCTGTTTTCTTTATAAAACTACGTCTGGGAGTGTTAAACCTCAGTTGTAAAACTTTTACCCAATCCTAGTCGAAGGTGTCAGTTTCAGTACCATGTTATTCCAGTTGCTGTATCTCACATTTGACAAATCATAGGATGATAAGGAAAGCACGTGATGAAACGTTGTTCTCTGGATTTTACAATATGTATGTGGGTGGTGCTTATTATAGTAACTGCCATGTTATGTAGAGGTTGTATTTAGTACTGGCCAATAGTGCTTTTCTATAAGCATTAGAAAAGTTGCTTCTGGAAAAAACTGCATGAGATGTACGTGACTTTTATTATTTTTATATAGTAGCTTAAGTCAAGCTGCATTGTATATCTGTTTATATTAATCATTATATTGAAAAATTAACTCAAAATAGATGTATTTTTAGGAAAGAAGTTGATCCACGATTGTTAGGGTTAAGAGCTATCAAGTGGCGAGTGCAAAGTCTTTACATGAATTAGACTTAGGACTTTGAACTGAAAGAGTTTGTGATTTTTTTATATTCTTTTGAATTTAAATTTGTAGTTTTAAGTTCAATAATTTAGTATAATTTTAATAATAATAATATGATTCAGTATTTAGAATAAAAAACTTGTGTGATTTGTACGTAATACTATTAGTACCACAAAAGAATTTTATATTTTTCCTTCTTACAATCTTTGCTTTGTAGTAAGACCCACACTTCTGTTGTTATTGTGTTAGAATTAAAACAGTCTAACTGATATATATATATAGTTTATTCTGATATTTTGCAAATGGTTCAAACTCAGTAGTGACAACAATAAAACCCATATGCTGGTTGTGAAACAGGCTAAACACTAAATAATATAGGGAAGCTATGACATTCTCACAGTTGGGGTCTCAATACATTGAAGTACTCAAGTTTCACATTCCAACATAAATCTTGCCT